CTTGGTTCATTTGCTCTTGGTTCTTGTTTGTTCTTTTTCTTTTTTTCTTCTTTTTTTTTTTTCATTTTTTTTTTTTTTTCATTCTCCATTTGTTTGTTCTAACACTTGCACAAGGTACTTGAAGGTTTTGGGCAAACTCACTCAGTCCTAACAGTTGCATTAGTGAACCTCATTTGAAGTTACCTTCTTATTATATAAATATTTTCTCCTCAACCTGGACTACGCATTAGTAGCTAGGATTCTGAACTAAAAGTGTGGGTAATGCGCTACAAATTGCTTTGCTATAATTCCAATGAAATTCTAAGGATGGAGAAATTGATGTCTTGTTAATTTTTAGATAAAAAAAGAAGCATGCAAACAATTGGTTTAGATCTCATTCAGCTAAATTGATATTTTACAAACTTGATTTAATAAATACAGTTAACATATGATGAATCCGATTCTTCTTTGCATAAAATTTTAATGCTTCTAAAGCATAATGTTGGGATAGTCATTTAAAGGGAGCCAGATAGACATTGTCCTCCAACTGTGTTTAACAAAATACTTTGTTGTTTTAAGCGCTTTCTAAAAGTTGAAGATACTGCAGAGGTGACCCTGGCGAAGTAGCTCCTACCCTGATACCAGCCTCTTACAACCGCTTTGAATATTATATGTTGAAGCAGCATGTTATATTCCTCTTGCACATTTTTACTCTCGAGAACTAGATCACTTTTTGTGGTTATTGAAATTCAGTCTATTGAAATTGCTTTTGACGTTATGTTATGACCAACAGATGCTGAACCTTCAGCTTATCTCAACTCGGCAGAGCGGCTCAACGTCAAGTCAGGGGAATGGCAAGCATTGCCATCCATGTACAAAGCAAGGGCATTTGCAACAGGTGTTTGTCGCTCACATGAGCAAATTTTACGTTTTTGGTGGTGCAACTTCTATGCACTCAGCTGAAATCTACGATCTTTTCTCAAATACATGGCTGTTTAGAGACTCATTTGTGCCAACGGAGGCTGATGGGTTTGCGGTGACAATGCTTATGAATTTGATGATATTGACCTGGTCAGATAAACTAGGTGTAAAACTGTGGCTGTGGGTTGGAGAGAATAATGGAGCTTCGGGGTTTGGTCTGTGGATGGTAATCAGTTTCTTTCCAAATGATGAAGCTGTTGAGAGGTTGCGATTTAGGCGTCATGGGGCAACAATGGTGAAACTTGGGATGGAGGTGTTGGTTGTGATGGGGCAGAGTGATTTTCGTCCTGGGGTTGAGCATGAAGTGGTTCATGGGGGCCATATCCATGCCTTCTCCATCCAGGTTGATGGCACAATTGGTTGGGGAGAGATTCCCGTTTACATGATTAAAGATAAATGAGAATGGCGAAACAAGATTTGCCTAGTTGAAACGCGGCACTGATTTGCATCAGGTTGAGTAGGTTATATGCATTCACAATTCTTTGATCCAAAGTTTTTTAATTTTTCAAAATGTAAAGTTGAATGATTGAACTGTTTTTAACAATTGTTATAGCAAAATGTAGATTCTATGCTAGCCGATTCAGAGCAAGGGAAAATGTCTCCTCTGTTTCGACTTTCCAAAATTCCCCCCTCCCCCCCCCTTGGGGGGCTCAGAGGGTGAAGCACCACTGAAGCATTTTCTAGGTGCATAATAAAGAGTAATTCTGATTGAAAATAAGAAGTTTTGTTTTGTTGTGATATTGGTTTAAGATTATAGATACATTCATTGAGCCATAAGATTATGATAAACACAAATGCCATGGAGAGAGATTTCAATTCAATTTGTTTACATTCCTTTACACTTTGATGATGCACAGATATCCAAGGAATTCCCCGGGAAAGGCTTCGTAATTTCTCTGTTGGTAATTTCTTTTATTGCATCATGTTACATGTAAAAAGAAGTTCCTTCTTATATGGACAAAGATAAGCATTATTCTTTTTATAATGGGTTGTTGTTGGAATTAGATTTTAGTAACCAAAATCATATAAAATTTCTTCAAAGTGACCTTAAAATTATAAAATGATAAATAGTCACCAATACTGATACAAATTAATTTTTACTGGCCATTTGGGGACAATTTATATTTTAGTGACCAAAATTAAATAAAATTGCCTTAAAATGATCTTAAAGTTATAAAAAGATAGATAATTTTTAATGACCCTATGAGGGTAGTTTCGTCAAACATTTTATTTGCTTACTAAAAATAATTCCATAATTAATTTTTTTTTTTCTTTTTCGGTTTTATTAAAAGGATTGGGTTCATCAATTCCTTACTCTTTCAATGTGGAAATTAGTTTCGTATGACAAATATTTCCTTCAAATTAAAATTGTCTTTGTGACATCAACATTGCTCGTTAATGCACAAAAGTGGAGGTACCTTTAATAATCCAATATAAAAGAAAAGTAAGAGTAAGGGGAGGTATGTGTAATTTATCGTTATTGTAGGGGTTAAAAGAGAATGTGTAATTATTTAAGATAGTCTTCATTACAACTTTCACTTCCAAACAAGAAAATCCATTACCACCTTCATCTTAATCACTTCTTTTCTTTCGGAACTCCCAAATAATATGAAGTATTAGATTAATTACAATCACATTAATCATCTCTCTCTCTCTCTCTCAATCATCGTTCTCTCTCTTACTTTCCTTTCTTCAGAACCTCCCATAAGCCCATGAATGTGGTACCTCAGTAGAGCAACCAACTCCAACAACCCCTATCAACCCTCTCCCAATCACTTTCTCTAACTCCATCCTCTCTGTATCCGACGCCGGACTTTTCCAAGAAGTCTCCATTTTCAAAGTCCCAAACACCAGAGTCGACGACTCTGACAAACACCCAAACCCAAATCAAACAACTGCTTGGGAATGGTTTTCATATCACGCTTCTCCGACCAAATTAAGGGCCGTTGTGGTCCCTCGGAGCCCGTCGACGACGACCCAGTTGTTGGGCATCACGCGGGGCGGCCGGTTCTTGTGTGTCAAGAGTCGTTGCCGCTCCGCCGGCGCCGCGTGCCACCCTTTGCGAGTACAGACTTGAGGACAACTCGTGGCATGATTTTCCCAAGATGCAGTGCGAGCGCCGTAACCCATTTGCTTCCGCCGGTGCAATTATGGATCATTGTCTCTATGTAGCTGGAGGGTATGAAGGCAATCTAACTCGTAAGTGTTAAATTTTGTTCATCTTTAGGCATTGATTGTGCAATGTTATTGTTAGGACTTTCTTGGTTTAGTTTTCTGCAAATGGGTTTTTATTATCAAAGGCATGGAAATAGATTTTAAAAAAACATGAGTTGAGAAAAGGTCTAATTTCTGATAACTATGTGTTGTAGTTGTTTAGTTTTGGGGGGTTTTTGAGTTTTCTTGAAAACCATTTTCAAAGAAATGAACTGGTCTTGTGGCCAGCTTGGAGAACTGAAAAATCGGAAAGAGTTCAAGATTGGTTTGATTTACAGTTTTCAAAATTTTGTTCTGAAAATTGAGTTTAAAAAATGGAGACAGACTTGCTAGGACTTTCTTGGTTTAGTTTTCTGAAAATGGGTGTCAAAGATCTTAAAATAGAAAAATAGTTTAAAAACTTGTTTAGTTGACAGGGGTTTTAAGAACTGCTCTCTGAAAATTGGGCTGAGAAAAGGTCTAATTTGGGATAACTATGTGTTGTAGTTCTTTAATTCTATGAAGGTTTTGGGTTTTTGGAGTTTTTCGTCTTATGGCCTGCTTGGAGAATTGAATAATGGGAAACAGTTCAAAGATTGGTTTGATTTACAGTTTGCAAAAGTATATTCTGAAAATTGATTTTTTTTTTTTTTTTCCCTGACTACACTGAAAATTGAGTTAAAAGAAGAAGAAAAATATGATTTCTTATAACTGTTTTTCGTAGTTTACTTTCAGAAATCGTGGAAACTTATTTGAATTGAACCAAATAGGTCCTTAACTTATTATCTTGTACAATGGAATTGATCTCCTTGAATCATGTATTCTGGCTTGTCAATTAGAGATTGTACTAGTTTCCAATTAGTATCACAATTAGAGCCTCAATGTAATACCATCGGACCACTAGCTCGATTGGTATGATCTCTCTCCTCCAAAGGGGAGGTTGAGAGTTTGACCATGCTAAGGGCATCTCGTGGGTGTGTGCGTTTGCTTTAGCTTCCCTGAAAAGAGCTTGAATGTAAGGAAATGATGTTAGTCATTTTATATTGAAATAGAAGGCAGACATGGTAGCAGGATTAGAATCGCTTGTAACCATAATTAGAGAGAGAGGTCCTACTGCTCCTCAATTAGAGAGAGAGAGAGAGAGAGAGAGAGAGAGAGAGAGGTCATCCATGCACTTGAAATGTGATGCATGTTTATCCATGTAGATAGTAAAGAGGCTTTTTGTCAAGAGAGAGTTGGAACGGTGTAATCTTTTAGGTGACAAAAGGGGTTTTAAGGGAGTGCATTCTTCCAATAATTTTCTTCCTCTCTTGACACGGAGGAACAATTCTGGAGATATGAAATGTTGAGCAGCACCATTGCTTATTGATCATGGAAGTGAAGGTTACGATGTAACAACAGATTCATATTTCAATCTTGATTGGGTTATGAGAGAAAGATTGCATTGTCTCATGAATTATTAATTTCAATGTATTGTTAGATTCATGAATGATGTAATTTTCAAGTCTTGGTTCATTTGCTCTTGGCTGTTATTTATTCTTTTTCTTTTTCATTCTCCATTTGTTTGATCTAACACTTGCACAAGGTCCTTGAAGGTTTTGGGCAATCTCACTCAATTTTAGTAACAGTTACATTAGTGAAAAAGTGACAGGTTTGACCAAATTGAATTGTAATTTTTTTCTGTAATCTTATTACAAAATATTTTGGAAAACGTGAAACTCTGACAATACAAATATTTTGAACTTGTGACAATAAAATTCAGGGAAAATTCGAATATATGCAATTATATATAAATTACACATATAGTATAAATGTAGGTGTTTTTGCACGAGAATCAAAATAAGATGAATGAGACAAGAAAGTATTGATGGATAGACTTTCGGTCACTCCATTAAAAAGTAAAGTAATTACTTACTCCTTTAAACTGTTATTTGGGAGTAAAAAGTAAAAGATTGTGTAATTACTTTAGTTTCGAATGTCAAATGTCCTTCAAATTGAGGATATAATTGCCTTTTTATTGGACAAAATGTCTGAAAAAAACTTGTCAATTGATCAACTTTGACCATTACTAAAACTGACCACATGCGTCTTTTTGTTAGACAAATGTGATTAGAAGTGGAGATTTAGAAAAAAAAAAAAAACGTAAGTGCAATAAATTATATCTCTAGGGGAGGAATGTATAATTTATCCTAGAAATTAAAAGCAAAGAAACTTGAGATATCAACGTTGACCGTTACTAAAACTGACCACATGGGTCATTTTTGTTAGACAAATGTGATTAGAAGTGGAGATAATGGTAAAAATTTAAAATTAGAAAAAAAAAGTAGGTGTAATAAATTATATCTATAGGAGGAGGAATGTGTAATTTACCCTAGAATTTTAAAGCAAAGAAACTTCGGATACTCTTTATTAGTACTACTTTTCACTCAGACACTACTTTTTCTTCTTATCCAAACAAGAAAATCCATTTCCACCTTCTTCCCATTCTCTTCTGAACTCCCAAATACTAGTATATAATAAGGAAGAAGTAGATTAATTTCCTCACATTAATCATCTTTCTCTCTCTTACTTTTCTTTCTTGAGTTTCTTCAAAACCTCCCATAAGCCCATAATGTGTTACCTCAGTAGAACACCCAACTCCAACCCCAAACCCAACCCCAATCCCGATCCCGATCATCCTCCCCAAATCACTTTCTCTAACTCCATCTTCTCTGTATGCGAAGCCGACCTTTTCCAAGAAATCTGCATTATCAATGTCCCAAACACCTCCCAAACAATCCAAACCAGAGACGACGACGACGACTCTGACGAACACCCAAACCCATGTCAAACAACTGCTTGGGAATGGTTTGCATTTCACGAACCTCTGACCCAATTAGAGGCCGTTGCTGTCCCTCGGTCCCCGTCGTCGACGACGACCCAGTTGTTCGGCAACATGGAGGACCGGTACTTGTGTGCCAGAGTCGCCGCCGCGTGCCGCCCTTTGCGTTTACATGCCTGAGGACAACTCGTGGCATGATTTTCCCAAGATGCAGTGCGAGCACCGTAACCCAATTGCTGCCGCCGCTGCGATTGTTGATAAATTTCTCTATCTTGCCGGAGGGTATGAAGGCAATTCAACTCGTAAGTGTTGAATTCGTGTTCATCTTTATGCATTGATTGTGCAATGTTATTGTTAGGACTTTCTTGGTTTAGTTTTCTGTAAATGGGTTTTTATTATCAAAGATATGGAAATAGAAAATAGTTCAAAGTTGTTTAGTTGACATATTTTTTAAAAATTAATGAGCTAAGAAAATTTCTAATTTCTGTGTTTGGGGTTTTGGAGTTTTCTTGAAAATTATTTTCAGAGAACTAAACCTGTCTTATGGCCAGTTTGAAGAATTGAAAAGCTGGAAAGAGTTCAAAGATTGGATTGATTTACAGTTTTCATAGTTTTATTCTGAAAATCGAGTTAAAAGAAAGACAAAAAAAAAAAACTGGAGACAGATTTGTTAGGACTTTCTTGGTTTAGTTTTCTGAAAATGGGTTTTTAATATCAAAGATCTGAAAATAGAAAAATAGTTCAAAAAGTTGTTTAGTTGACGTTTTAAGAACTGTTCTCTGAAAGATGAGATGAGAAAAGGTCTAATTTGGGATAACTATATGTTGTAGTTCTTTAGTTCTATGAAGGTTTTTGGGTTTTGGAGTTTTCATCTTATGGCCAGCTTGGAGAATTGAATAGTCGGAAACAGTCAAAGATTGCTTTGATTTGGACTTGGCAAAATTAGTACATTCTGAAAATTGAGTTAAAAGAAGAAGAAAAATATGATTTCTTATAACTGTTTTTCGTAGTTTACTTTCAGAAATCTTGGAAACGTATTCGAATTGAACCAAATAGGTCCTCAACTTGTTGTCTTGTATAATGGAATTGCTCTCCTATAATTATGTATTCTGGCTTGTCGATTAGGGATTGCACCATTTACCAATCAGTATCACAATTAGAGTTTGAATGTAATGAGATGATGTCAGTCATTTTATATTGAAATAAAAGGCAGAGATGGTAGCAGGATTAGAATCGCTTGGAACCATAATTAGAGAGAGAGGTCCTTCTGCTCCTCAATTAGAGAGAGAGAGAGAGAGAGAGATCATCCATGCACTTGAACTGTGATGTATGTTTATCCATGTAGATAGTAAAGATGCTTTTTGTTAAGAGAGAGTTGGAACTGTGTAATCTTTTAGGTGACAAAAGGGGTTTTAAGGGTGTGCATTCTTCCAAGAATTTTCTTCCTCTCTTGACGCGGAGGAACAATTCTGGTGAAATGAAATGTTGAGCAGCATCATTGCGTGTTGATCATGGAAGTGAAGGTTATGATGTAAGTTGTAACAACTGATTGAGAATACTTGAGTGGGCTATGAGATAACGATTGCATTCTCTTAGTGAATTTTTAATTTCAATGATTTGTTAAATTCATGAATGATGTAATTTTCAAGTCTCCATAACGGATTTAAGTCTATCTTGTTCTTGGTTCATTTGCTCTTGGTTGATGTTTGTTCATTTTTTTTTTCATTCTCCATTTGTTTGATCTAACGCTTGCACAAGGTCCTGGAAGTTTTTGGGCAAACTCACTCAATCCTAACAGTTGCATTAGTGAACCTCATTTGAAGTTACGTTCTTATTATATGCATATCTTCTCTTCAACCTGGACTATACATTACTAGCTAGGATTCTGAACTAAAAGTGTTGGAAATGTGCTACAAATTGCTTGCGCTACGAATTGCTTTGCTATAATTTTAATGAAACTCTAAAGATTGAGAAATTGATATCTTGTTAATTTTTAGATAAAAAAGAGAGCATGCAAATCATTGGTTTAGATCTCATTCAACTAAATTGATATTTTAGAAACTTGATTTAATACAATTAATGCTTCTAAAGCATAATGTTGGGATAGTCATTTAAGGGGAGCCAGATTGACATTGTCCTCCAACCTTGTTTAACAAAATAGTTTGTTGTTTTATGCGATTTCTAAAAGTTGAAGAGGCTGCAGAAGTAACCTTGTTGGTTTTACGGATTATGTTTCAATTTAGAAAAAAATCAAAGAACATTCTACCACCCTGGCGAAGTGCTCCTACCCTGATACCGCTTTGTATATTGGTAGCTAAATGTTTCTTCAATATAATATGTCGAAGCAGCATGTTATTTACTCTTGAGAATTAGATCACTTTTTGTGGTCATTGAAATTCAGTCTATTGAAATTGCTTTTGACATAATGTTATGACCAACAGATGCTGAACCTTCTGCTTATCTCAACTCGGCAGAGCGGTTTTAACCTCAGTACAGGGGAATGGCAAGCATTGCCATCCATGCAAAAAGCAAGGGCATTTGCAACAGGTATTGCTCACAAGGGCAAATTTTACGTTTTTGGTGGCGCAACTCCTAAGCACTCAGCTGAAATCTACGATCCTCTCTCAAATACATGGCTGTCTATAGACTCATTTGTGCCAGAGGAGGCTGATGGGTTTGCAGTGACATCGACGTTTATGAATCTGGTAATACTGACCTGGTCAGATCGACTAGGCTTAAAACTGTGGCTGCGGGTTGAAAAGAGTAATGAAGCTTTGGAGAATGGTACGTGGACGATTGTCAGTGACTTGCCAAACAATGAAGAAGTTGACAGATTGCGATTCAGGCATCATGGGGCAAAAATGGTGAAACTTGGGAACGAGGTGTGTGTTCTGATGGGAGAGACTGATTGTGTTTGGAGAGTGGGTGGACCAGTAGCGTGGCCAATATTTCCATCTCCAAATTTTTGCCCTGGCGGTGGGCATGAAGTGGTGCATGATGGCGAGACCTATGCCTTCTCCATCCAGGCTGATGGCACAAGATTTGCCTAGTTGAAACGCGGCTTTGATTTGCATCAAGTTGAGTAGTTTTTTTGCATGCATAATTCTTTGATCCAAAGTTTAGTTTTTCGAAGTGTAAAGTTGAATGATTGAACTATTTTGATGGTTACACATACAGATGGGATTACAAAACAGTAGTTGTAGCAAAATGTAGATTCTATGCTAGCCGATTCAGAGCAAGGGAAAATGTCTCCTCTGTTTCGACTTTCAATTTTTTTCCCCCTCTTTTTGGGGGCTAAGAGGGTGAAGCAATTTTCTATGTACATACAAAAGAGAAGTAGTAATTCTGATTATAAGAAGTTGTGTTGTGATTTGGTTTATATTTTCTGAATGTGAGTTTTTGCTTCTAGAATAATAGTAATAATAGTAAGGTTAAGGGTGGGCTTTGGCGCAACTCGGCATATAAAGGTAAGACTGACATTTCTTCAAACTTCGCAAAGAGAAAGCCTGGTGCAATAAGTTTGAATATTTCAATTTTTGCAGCATTAGTTTCCAACAAAAAAAAAATCAGTTTCATCATCTTCTGATTTGGTTTTTTGATTTCTGAAGTACGATATTTTCTCCCCCTTTTGTAATAGTAAGTTGGTAACAATCAAATCTAACCCGTCTCTGTGCTTCTTTTTTTCATTCCAGTTGGCTTGACAGCATTTAACCATTGCATTACAGTCATATTGGCCCATATTGAAATATTAGTAAAATAATACAATATAGATACATTCATTGAGAGCCATAAGATGAATATATGAAAGAATAGTTTCTTTAAGTTATTGGGTGGTGTTGTATATTCATGAATATGTACATTTTTCGCCTGAACTCGCAATTTACCTTGGACAAAATTTCTAAAAATATATATAATGTGGGACAAGAACCTTTAAAATTCTTTCCCACGGGAACCACCAAATATGGTGAAATATATAACTAAACGGCTGATATTTGGTATCTCCTTTTACAATTGATTAATCTTGAATTTGATATATATTTGGTAAAAAAGAAGAAAAAAAATAAAAATGTCCTTTTATGATTTAAAATATATTTTTATTTATTTCTAAATTTACCCATACTACTATACGGTATATTTTGTTGCTAAAACAACTGCAATAAACTCCATCCCTAGGGGAGGTATGTGTAATTTATAGTTTAAAAAGTAGAGAAATACGTAATTATTGAACTCTAGAGGAGGTATGTGTAATTTATCGTTTTATAAACAAAGAAATGCGTAAATATTTATGGTTTAAGATCGTCGTCTTCATTACAAGTCTTACATCCAAACAAGAAAATCCGGACAATTGTAGGGGAGGTATGTGTAAAACTGCCATCAGAACCAACACCTCCTTCCCAAGTAATCTTTATTGAATGTGAAGCAAGAATTAAATATATAGCATAGCGCCGCCTATCCCCAAAGAACTGGGATTACCATTACTTGCTTGGAAATCAAGAAAGAGAAGGCGGTGAGATCCCTCGCATCGCATTTAGGAAGCGCTCTCTCTTAAACCTAAACTTTCCTTTTTGGATTATCGCCCAAAGTTTCAATTCCTCTGCGCATTCATCTCATACACCATACATAGAAGCCAAGCCTTCCCTCTCATACACCACACATCGGCCTGTTCCATTACACTGGACAATGGTGATTTTTCCTTTCTCCAGTAACGGGGCTTGGTTCTTCCAAGATTGATTTCTTGTTCTGTCCTGTTCTAAGGTACTCAAACCTGGTGATTTCTCTTCCATAGTCTCTGTCACTTGGTTCGTCCCCGTTCCTCTGCCCAAAGCTTTGTTGGTGAATACCTGAAATCCTTCAATTTCCCTTTTTCTTTCTCTCTTCACTTCCCTCTGTCACAACCATTCCTCTGCCCAAACCTTTTGTCTTTGATTCCAATCAATGAACAACACAATGGTGTCCGGGATTCAATCCATGCGTGCTGCCGCGCTCAAGAAGCGATTTGCTGAAACTATCTTGAAAGCAGCAAAGGAGCTATTGCTAAATCAGGTATGAACATCAGTTTTTCTTACAAGTATTCCATTCCTTCAAATTTCAGCTTTCAAAATATATTACGTATTAAATGTGTATTCCATTCCTTCAGGCTGATCGGATTAAAACCAAACCGAAACCGAATCCGAAACCGGGCACAATTGAAGCCCAAATCATAGCTGATAAAGCTGCTTCACAAAATATTGCACAAGCATGGAAAATCCTGCTGGAGAGGAATAGAGAAGCTGCCAGAATTTCTCTGCAGAAGGTTTGTTCTTTTCTTAAAATTTTTTTCAATTTTTTTTCTTTCTTAAAATTAAATTAACTCTTCTTTCCCCTCCTCATTTCCAGATGGAGAACACTGTCCACTTTGAGGACAATCTGTACATTGGCAAATACTTCGAAAATTTAAGGGTTTTTGGATCAACTAAACCACTTGAGGAGTTTGGTTTGTTTCTTAAGAAAGATGATGATTTGTACGAGGACGAGGAGGAGGTGATTGATATAGAAGAGGGAGAGATCATTGAATAGATTTCAAACGAAAATAGCTACCACAAGAGAGTTTTTCCACTAGCTCTTTCCTAGAGAAGTTTTATATATACTGCTTATGTTGTTGATTGGCCATGTGCCTTGTATGTACAGTTTTTACTTCATTTAAACATGTATTCACTTGTAACATTCTACTCCATGTAATTGTAGCTCAAGGTCAATTCAAAATTTTCAATAAAAAAGTCCAATTACATTTATTTGTGTCTGTATATGTATACACACACACACACACACACACACACACATACATATATATATATATATGTTGTTTGCGTTTTTATATATATGCATGTGTATATTTTTGGTCTTAAAGCTATCAGTCAAGGAACCTGTAGAATACAGAGAGTGACATCCAAAACCTTTGAACTTCAAATGAACCGGTCTTTTGCACACCAAACTGCTCTTATCCTCTGAAGTAAAAGTTTGGATTGAATTGTTTCTGAGATGTGGTTGCTTTGAAGTAGACTATTAATGTCGCAATGTGACTCACTGGTTTTCACCCGAGGTCTATCAACTCTTTATTCCTCAACTAAACATGGCAATTTCAAGATTTTGCCGGTTGATTGATTGAAGAGTGAATAAGTATCAATGAGATCGAAGCTCCCTGTGAATTGCTTTTCTGTGAACAAACTTTTCAATGATTGAGACAAGAAATGTTGGCAGCCAGTTTCTTGGAGCATGTATGAGATATTTCTTAGTGCACTGGTTTTTTGGAGCATGTAATAGAGTCTTCATTTCCTCTGATTTCAGCCTCCCAAGTGTCCTCACCAATCTACTTTTGATGAAGAATTCATTTCCTTTGTACTTCTGAGTGAAATGAACATAAGCAGACACATAACATGCCTCCATTATATTGGAAATGAAGTTTCCTTCATCTTCTTTCTTTAGTCTCCTCTTGGTCCTGGGCTAAGAAGCCTTAGCTGTGAGTCAGTGAACTATTCCTGATCTTAAAGGAGTTGTGTTGATCCTTTTAAGACCACAAAAGTCTGGTTGACAGCTGACAAGAGTCCTTCTTAGAAGATGAGCCCCAAACAGTGATGTCCACAACCTTTTTGTCCTTCATTCTACTGCCTTCAACCTGCTCTTGGAACAACTGTATCCTGTGTTCTTTAATCACATTGCTTCTCTCAATTAAGCATCTTCAATTGAGTCCCACATCTCCTTGGCTGTGTTGCATTTTGATTTTCCAAGGAGAGTGACATTAGAGATGGATTAGTATCATTACTCCAACAGTAGTAGTTTGGTCATGTTATCGTTTGATTTCCCCCTTTTTGGGGCTAAGAGGGTGAAGCATTTTCTATGTACACATTAAGAGAGTAATTTTAATTGAGCATAAGAAGTTCTGTTGTGATTTGGTTTATATTTTCTTAATGTGAGTTTTTGCTTCTAGAATAATAGTGAGGTTAAGGGTGGACTTTGGCGCAACTCCGCATTCACATTAGGGTTTGAATATTTCAATTTTTGCAGCATTATTTTCCAACCAAAAAAAATCAGTTTCATCATCCTCTGATTTGGTTTTTTGATTTCTCAAGTATGATATTTTCTCCCCCTTTTGAAATAGTAAGTTGGTAACAATCAAATCTAACCCATCTCTTTGCTTCTTTTTTCATTCCAGTTGGCTTGATAGCATTTAACCATCGCATTAGTCTTATTGGCCGTTAAGATATTGAAATATTAGTAAAATAATACAATATAGATACATTCATTGAGAGCCATAAGATTGTATTGAGAGATAGAATTAACTGGTACATATATTTACGATAAAATTGTTTGTTGGCTATATATGAAAGAGAGAATTAGATTTTAGTGACGAAAATTAAATAAAATTGTTTTAATGTGACTTTAAAATTATAAAAATATAGATAGTCACGATGCAAAATTTACCATATGAGGGTACTTTTGTCAAACATTTTATTTGCTTATTAAAAATAATTGCATAATTAAAACTGTTTGTTGTAATGCTTGTTTTTAAAGAAATTATAGAAGAGAAATCGATTCAAATAAATTTCTATTTTTCAATCAATTTCTTAAGATGGATGATCTTCCAATATGTGTTAATATTCAAATTAGTTTGATACGACAAATATGTCCTTTAAATTAAGGGTATAATTGTCTTTTCGCACAACATTCAAATTAGTTTGAAAATGGGTTTTTGGTATCCAATATGTGTTAATATTCAAATTAGTTTGAAAATGGGTTTTTGATATCAAAGATCAAAAAATAGAAAAATAGTTCCAAAAGTTGTTTAATTGACTGATTTTATAAAAACCTGGGCTGGGAAAAGGTCTAATTTCTGATAACTATATGTTGTAGTTGTTTAGTTTTTTGGGTTTTGGAGTTTTCTTGAAAACTATTTTCAGAGAATTGAACCCGGTCTTATGGCCAGTTTGAAGAATTGAAATACTGGAAACAGTTCAAAGATTGGTTTGATTTACAGTTTTCCAAATTTTATTCTGAAAATTGAATTAAAAAAAAAAAAAAAAAAAAATTGGAGGCAGATTTGTTAGGACTTTCTTGGTTGAGTTTTCTGAAAATGGGTTTTTGATATCAAAGATCAGAAAATAGAAAAATAGTTCCAAAAGTTGTTTAGTTGACAGGTTTGTAAGAACTGTTCTCTGAAAAATGGGCTGAGAAAAAGGTCTAATTTGGGATAACTATACGTTGTATTTCTTTAGTTCTGTGGAGGTTTTTGGGTTTTGGAGTTTTCGTCTAATGGTAGCTTGGAGAATTGAATAATCGGAAACAGTTCTAAGATTGGTTTGATTTACAGTTTGCAAAAGTATATTATTCTGAAAAATGAGTTAAAAGAAGAAGAAAAATAAGATTTCTTATAACTGTTTTTCGTAGTTTACTTTCAGAAATCTTGGAAACGTATTCGAATTGAACCAAATAGGTCCTGAACTTATTATCTTGTACAATGGAATTGCTCTCCTTGAATCATGTATTCTGGCTTGTCAATTAGAAATTGAACCATTTATCGATCAGTATCACAATTACAGCTTGAATGTAACGGGAGAGAGAGGGAAAGAGAGGCTTTTTGTTAAGAGGGAGTTGGAACTGTGTAATCTTTTAGGTGACAATTGACAAAAGGGGTTTTAAGGGAGTGCATTCTTTCAAGAATTTTCTTCCTCTCTTGATACGGAGGAACAATTCTGGAGAAATGAAATGTTGAGCAGCACCATTGCGTGTTGATCATGGAAGTGAAGTTTACGATGTAACAACAGATTTAGAATTCTTGAGTGGGTTACGAGAGAGAGATTGCATTATCTCATCAATTATTAATTTCAATGAATAGTTAAATTCATCTGATGTAATTTTCAAGTCTCGATACCGGATTTAGCTCTATCTGGTTCTTGGTTCATTTGCTCTTGGTTCTTGTTTGTTCTTTTTCTTTTTTTCTTCTTTTTTTTTTTTCATTTTTTTTTTTTTTTCATTCTCCATTTGTTTGTTCTAACACTTGCACAAGGTACTTGAAGGTTTTGGGCAAACTCACTCAGTCCTAACAGTTGCATTAGTGAACCTCATTTGAAGTTACCTTCTTATTATATAAATATTTTCTCCTCAACCTGGACTACGCATTAGTAGCTAGGATTCTGAACTAAAAGTGTGGGTAATGCGCTACAAATTGCTTTGCTATAATTCCAATGAAATTCTAAGGATGGAGAAATTGATGTCTTGTTAATTTTTAGATAAAAAAAGAAGCATGCAAACAATTGGTTTAGATCTCATTCAGCTAAATTGATATTTTACAAACTTGATTTAATAAATACAGTTAACATATGATGAATCCGATTCTTCTTTGCATAAAATTTTAATGCTTCTAAAGCATAATGTTGGGATAGTCATTTAAAGGGAGCCAGATAGACATTGTCCTCCAACTGTGTTTAACAAAATACTTTGTTGTTTTAAGCGCTTTCTAAAAGTTGAAGATACTGCAGAGGTGACCCTGGCGAAGTAGCTCCTACCCTGATACCAGCCTCTTACAACCGCTTTGAATATTATATGTTGAAGCAGCATGTTATATTCCTCTTGCACATTTTTACTCTCGAGAACTAGATCACTTTTTGTGGTTATTGAAATTCAGTCTATTGAAATTGCTTTTGACGTTATGTTATGACCAACAGATGCTGAACCTTCAGCTTATCTCAACTCGGCAGAGCGGCTCAACGTCAAGTCAGGGGAATGGCAAGCATTGCCATCCATGTACAAAGCAAGGGCATTTGCAACAGGTGTTTGTCGCTCACATGAGCAAATTTTACGTTTTTGGTGGTGCAACTTCTATGCACTCAGCTGAAATCTACGATCTTTTCTCAAATACATGGCTGTTTAGAGACTCATTTGTGCCAACGGAGGCTGATGGGTTTGCGGTGACAATGCTTATGAATTTGATGATATTGACCTGGTCAGATAAACTAGGTGTAAAACTGTGGCTGTGGGTTGGAGAGAATAATGGAGCTTCGGGGTTTGGTCTGTGGATGGTAATCAGTTTCTTTCCAAATGATGAAGCTGTTGAGAGGTTGCGATTTAGGCGTCATGGGGCAACAATGGTGAAACTTGGGATGGAGGTGTTGGTTGTGATGGGGGAGAGTGATTTTCGTCCTGGGGTTGAGCATGAAGTGGTTCATGGGGGCCATATCCATGCCTTCTCCATCCAGGTTGATGGCACAATTGGTTGGGGAGAGATTCCCGTTTACATGATTAAAGATAAATGAGAATGGCGAAACAAGATTTGCCTAGTTGAAACGCGGCACTGATTTGCATCAGGTTGAGTAGGTTATATGCATTCACAATTCTTTGATCCAAAGTTTTTTAATTTTTCAAAATGTAAAGTTGAATGATTGAACTGTTTTTAACAATTGTTATAGCAAAATGTAGATTCTATGCTAGCCGATTCAGAGCAAGGGAAAATGTCTCCTCTGTTTCGACTTTCCAAAATTCCCCCCTCCCCCCCCCCTTGGGGGGCTCAGAGGGTGAAGCACCACTGAAGCATTTTCTAGGTGCATAATAAAGAGTAATTCTGATTGAAAATAAGAAGTTTTGTTTTGTTGTGATATTGGTTTAAGATTATAGATACATTCATTGAGCCATAAGATTATGATAAACACAAATGCCATGGAGAGAGATTTCAATTCAATTTGTTTACATTCCTTTACACTTTGATGATGCACAGATATCCAAGGAATTCCCCGGGAAAGGCTTCGTAATTTCTCTGTTGGTAATTTCTTTTATTGCATCATGTTACATGTAAAAAGAAGTTCCTTCTTATATGGACAAAGATAAGCATTATTCTTTTTATAATGGGTTGTTGTTGGAATTAGATTTTAGTAACCAAAATCATATAAAATTTCTTCAAAGTGACCTTAAAATTATAAAATGATAAATAGTCACCAATACTGATACAAATTAATTTTTACTGGCCATTTGGGGACAATTTATATTTTAGTGACCAAAATTAAATAAAATTGCCTTAAAATGATCTTAAAGTTATAAAAAGATAGATAATTTTTAATGACCCTATGAGGGTAGTTTCGTCAAACATTTTATTTGCTTACTAAAAATAATTCCATAATTAATTTTTTTTTTTCTTTTTCGGTTTTATTAAAAGGATTGGGTTCATCAATTCCTTACTCTTTCAATGTGGAAATTAGTTTCGTATGACAAATATTTCCTTCAAATTAAAATTGTCTTTGTGACATCAACATTGCTCGTTAATGCACAAAAGTGGAGGTACCTTTAATAATCCAATATAAAAGAAAAGTAAGAGTAAGGGGAGGTATGTGTAATTTATCGTTATTGTAGGGGTTAAAAGAGAATGTGTAATTATTTAAGATAGTCTTCATTACAACTTTCACTTCCAAACAAGAAAATCCATTACCACCTTCATCTTAATCACTTCTTTTCTTTCGGAACTCCCAAATAATATGAAGTATTAGATTAATTACAATCACATTAATCATCTCTCTCTCTCTCTCTCAATCATCGTTCTCTCTCTTACTTTCCTTTCTTCAGAACCTCCCATAAGCCCATGAATGTGGTACCTCAGTAGAGCAACCAACTCCAACAACCCCTATCAACCCTCTCCCAATCACTTTCTCTAACTCCATCCTCTCTGTATCCGACGCCGGACTTTTCCAAGAAGTCTCCATTTTCAAAGTCCCAAACACCAGAGTCGACGACTCTGACAAACACCCAAACCCAAATCAAACAACTGCTTGGGAATGGTTTTCATATCACGCTTCTCCGACCAAATTAAGGGCCGTTGTGGTCCCTCGGAGCCCGTCGACGACGACCCAGTTGTTGGGCATCACGCGGGGCGGCCGGTTCTTGTGTGTCAAGAGTCGTTGCCGCTCCGCCGGCGCCGCGTGCCACCCTTTGCGAGTACAGACTTGAGGACAACTCGTGGCATGATTTTCCCAAGATGCAGTGCGAGCGCCGTAACCCATTTGCTTCCGCCGGTGCAATTATGGATCATTGTCTCTATGTAGCTGGAGGGTATGAAGGCAATCTAACTCGTAAGTGTTAAATTTTGTTCATCTTTAGGCATTGATTGTGCAATGTTATTGTTAGGACTTTCTTGGTTTAGTTTTCTGCAAATGGGTTTTTATTATCAAAGGCATGGAAATAGATTTTAAAAAAACATGAGTTGAGAAAAGGTCTAATTTCTGATAACTATGTGTTGTAGTTGTTTAGTTTTGGGGGGTTTTTGAGTTTTCTTGAAAACCATTTTCAAAGAAATGAACTGGTCTTGTGGCCAGCTTGGAGAACTGAAAAATCGGAAAGAGTTCAAGATTGGTTTGATTTACAGTTTTCAAAATTTTGTTCTGAAAATTGAGTTTAAAAAATGGAGACAGACTTGCTAGGACTTTCTTGGTTTAGTTTTCTGAAAATGGGTGTCAAAGATCTTAAAATAGAAAAATAGTTTAAAAACTTGTTTAGTTGACAGGGGTTTTAAGAACTGCTCTCTGAAAATTGGGCTGAGAAAAGGTCTAATTTGGGATAACTATGTGTTGTAGTTCTTTAATTCTATGAAGGTTTTGGGTTTTTGGAGTTTTTCGTCTTATGGCCTGCTTGGAGAATTGAATAATGGGAAACAGTTCAAAGATTGGTTTGATTTACAGTTTGCAAAAGTATATTCTGAAAATTGATTTTTTTTTTTTTTTTCCCTGACTACACTGAAAATTGAGTTAAAAGAAGAAGAAAAATATGATTTCTTATAACTGTTTTTCGTAGTTTACTTTCAGAAATCGTGGAAACTTATTTGAATTGAACCAAATAGGTCCTTAACTTATTATCTTGTACAATGGAATTGATCTCCTTGAATCATGTATTCTGGCTTGTCAATTAGAGATTGTACTAGTTTCCAATTAGTATCACAATTAGAGCCTCAATGTAATACCATCGGACCACTAGCTCGATTGGTATGATCTCTCTCCTCCAAAGGGGAGGTTGAGAGTTTGACCATGCTAAGGGCATCTCGTGGGTGTGTGCGTTTGCTTTAGCTTCCCTGAAAAGAGCTTGAATGTAAGGAAATGATGTTAGTCATTTTATATTGAAATAGAAGGCAGACATGGTAGCAGGATTAGAATCGCTTGTAACCATAATTAGAGAGAGAGGTCCTACTGCTCCTCAATTAGAGAGAGAGAGAGAGAGAGAGAGAGAGAGAGAGAGGTCATCCATGCACTTGAAATGTGATGCATGTTTATCCATGTAGATAGTAAAGAGGCTTTTTGTCAAGAGAGAGTTGGAACGGTGTAATCTTTTAGGTGACAAAAGGGGTTTTAAGGGAGTGCATTCTTCCAATAATTTTCTTCCTCTCTTGACACGGAGGAACAATTCTGGAGATATGAAATGTTGAGCAGCACCATTGCTTATTGATCATGGAAGTGAAGGTTACGATGTAACAACAGATTCATATTTCAATCTTGATTGGGTTATGAGAGAAAGATTGCATTGTCTCATGAATTATTAATTTCAATGTATTGTTAGATTCATGAATGATGTAATTTTCAAGTCTTGGTTCATTTGCTCTTGGCTGTTATTTATTCTTTTTCTTTTTCATTCTCCATTTGTTTGATCTAACACTTGCACAAGGTCCTTGAAGGTTTTGGGCAATCTCACTCAATTTTAGTAACAGTTACATTAGTGAAAAAGTGACAGGTTTGACCAAATTGAATTGTAATTTTTTTCTGTAATCTTATTACAAAATATTTTGGAAAACGTGAAACTCTGACAATACAAATATTTTGAACTTGTGACAATAAAATTCAGGGAAAATTCGAATATATGCAATTATTTATAAATTACACATATAGTATAAATGTAGGTGTTTTTGCACGAGAATCAAAATAAGATGAATGAGACAAGAAAGTATTGATGGATAGACTTTCGGTCACTCCATTAAAAAGTAAAGTAATTACTTACTCCTTTAAACTGTTATTTGGGAGTAAAAAGTAAAAGATTGTGTAATTACTTTAGTTTCGAATGTCAAATGTCCTTCAAATTGAGGATATAATTGCCTTTTTATTGGACAAAATGTCTGAAAAAAACTTGTCAATTGATCAACTTTGACCATTACTAAAACTGACCACATGCGTCTTTTTGTTAGACAAATGTGATTAGAAGTGGAGATTTAGAAAAAAAAAAAAAACGTAAGTGCAATAAATTATATCTCTAGGGGAGGAATGTATAATTTATCCTAGAAATTAAAAGCAAAGAAACTTGAGATATCAACGTTGACCGTTACTAAAACTGACCACATGGGTCATTTTTGTTAGACAAATGTGATTAGAAGTGGAGATAATGGTAAAAATTTAAAATTAGAAAAAAAAAGTAGGTGTAATAAATTATATCTATAGGAGGAGGAATGTGTAATTTACCCTAGAATTTTAAAGCAAAGAAACTTCGGATACTCTTTATTAGTACTACTTTTCACTCAGACACTACTTTTTCTTCTTATCCAAACAAGAAAATCCATTTCCACCTTCTTCCCATTCTCTTCTGAACTCCCAAATACTAGTATATAATAAGGAAGAAGTAGATTAATTTCCTCACATTAATCATCTTTCTCTCTCTTACTTTTCTTTCTTGAGTTTCTTCAAAACCTCCCATAAGCCCATAATGTGTTACCTCAGTAGAACACCCAACTCCAACCCCAAACCCAACCCCAATCCCGATCCCGATCATCCTCCCCAAATCACTTTCTCTAACTCCATCTTCTCTGTATGCGAAGCCGACCTTTTCCAAGAAATCTGCATTATCAATGTCCCAAACACCTCCCAAACAATCCAAACCAGAGACGACGACGACGACTCTGACGAACACCCAAACCCATGTCAAACAACTGCTTGGGAATGGTTTGCATTTCACGAACCTCTGACCCAATTAGAGGCCGTTGCTGTCCCTCGGTCCCCGTCGTCGACGACGACCCAGTTGTTCGGCAACATGGAGGACCGGTACTTGTGTGCCAGAGTCGCCGCCGCGTGCCGCCCTTTGCGTTTACATGCCTGAGGACAACTCGTGGCATGATTTTCCCAAGATGCAGTGCGAGCACCGTAACCCAATTGCTGCCGCCGCTGCGATTGTTGATAAATTTCTCTATCTTGCCGGAGGGTATGAAGGCAATTCAACTCGTAAGTGTTGAATTCGTGTTCATCTTTATGCATTGATTGTGCAATGTTATTGTTAGGACTTTCTTGGTTTAGTTTTCTGTAAATGGGTTTTTATTATCAAAGATATGGAAATAGAAAATAGTTCAAAGTTGTTTAGTTGACATATTTTTTAAAAATTAATGAGCTAAGAAAATTTCTAATTTCTGTGTTTGGGGTTTTGGAGTTTTCTTGAAAATTATTTTCAGAGAACTAAACCTGTCTTATGGCCAGTTTGAAGAATTGAAAAGCTGGAAAGAGTTCAAAGATTGGATTGATTTACAGTTTTCATAGTTTTATTCTGAAAATCGAGTTAAAAGAAAGACAAAAAAAAAAAACTGGAGACAGATTTGTTAGGACTTTCTTGGTTTAGTTTTCTGAAAATGGGTTTTTAATATCAAAGATCTGAAAATAGAAAAATAGTTCAAAAAGTTGTTTAGTTGACGTTTTAAGAACTGTTCTCTGAAAGATGAGATGAGAAAAGGTCTAATTTGGGATAACTATATGTTGTAGTTCTTTAGTTCTATGAAGGTTTTTGGGTTTTGGAGTTTTCATCTTATGGCCAGCTTGGAGAATTGAATAATCGGAAACAGTCAAAGATTGCTTTGATTTGGACTTGGCAAAATTAGTACATTCTGAAAATTGAGTTAAAAGAAGAAGAAAAATATGATTTCTTATAACTGTTTTTCGTAGTTTACTTTCAGAAATCTTGGAAACGTATTCGAATTGAACCAAATAGGTCCTCAACTTGTTGTCTTGTATAATGGAATTGCTCTCCTATAATTATGTATTCTGGCTTGTCGATTAGGGATTGCACCATTTACCAATCAGTATCACAATTAGAGTTTGAATGTAATGAGATGATGTCAGTCATTTTATATTGAAATAAAAGGCAGAGATGGTAGCAGGATTAGAATCGCTTGTAACCATAATTAGAGAGAGAGGTCCTTCTGCTCCTCAATTAGAGAGAGAGAGAGAGAGAGAGAGATCATCCATGCACTTGAACTGTGATGTATGTTTATCCATGTAGATAGTAAAGATGCTTTTTGTTAAGAGAGAGTTGGAACTGTGTAATCTTTTAGGTGACAAAAGGGGTTTTAAGGGTGTGCATTCTTCCAAGAATTTTCTTCCTCTCTTGACGCGGAGGAACAATTCTGGTGAAATGAAATGTTGAGCAGCATCATTGCGTGTTGATCATGGAAGTGAAGGTTATGATGTAAGTTGTAACAACTGATTGAGAATACTTGAGTGGGCTATGAGATAACGATTGCATTCTCTTAGTGAATTTTTAATTTCAATGATTTGTTAAATTCATGAATGATGTAATTTTCAAGTCTCCATAACGGATTTAAGTCTATCTTGTTCTTGGTTCATTTGCTCTTGGTTGATGTTTGTTCATTTTTTTTTTCATTCTCCATTTGTTTGATCTAACGCTTGCACAAGGTCCTGGAAGTTTTTGGGCAAACTCACTCAATCCTAACAGTTGCATTAGTGAACCTCATTTGAAGTTACGTTCTTATTATATGCATATCTTCTCTTCAACCTGGACTATACATTACTAGCTAGGATTCTGAACTAAAAGTGTTGGAAATGTGCTACAAATTGCTTGTGCTACGAATTGCTTTGCTATAATTTTAATGAAACTCTAAAGATTGAGAAATTGATATCTTGTTAATTTTTAGATAAAAAAGAGAGCATGCAAATCATTGGTTTAGATCTCATTCAACTAAATTGATATTTTAGAAACTTGATTTAATACAATTAATGCTTCTAAAGCATAATGTTGGGATAGTCATTTAAGGGGAGCCAGATTGACATTGTCCTCCAACCTTGTTTAACAAAATAGTTTGTTGTTTTATGCGATTTCTAAAAGTTGAAGAGGCTGCAGAAGTAACCTTGTTGGTTTTACGGATTATGTTTCAATTTAGAAAAAAATCAAAGAACATTCTACCACCCTGGCGAAGTGCTCCTACCCTGATACCGCTTTGTATATTGGTAGCTAAATGTTTCTTCAATATAATATGTCGAAGCAGCATGTTATTTACTCTTGAGAATTAGATCACTTTTTGTGGTCATTGAAATTCAGTCTATTGAAATTGCTTTTGACATAATGTTATGACCAACAGATGCTGAACCTTCTGCTTATCTCAACTCGGCAGAGCGGTTTTAACCTCAGTACAGGGGAATGGCAAGCATTGCCATCCATGCAAAAAGCAAGGGCATTTGCAACAGGTATTGCTCACAAGGGCAAATTTTACGTTTTTGGTGGCGCAACTCCTAAGCACTCAGCTGAAATCTACGATCCTCTCTCAAATACATGGCTGTCTATAGACTCATTTGTGCCAGAGGAGGCTGATGGGTTTGCAGTGACATCGACGTTTATGAATCTGGTAATACTGACCTGGTCAGATCGACTAGGCTTAAAACTGTGGCTGCGGGTTGAAAAGAGTAATGAAGCTTTGGAGAATGGTACGTGGACGATTGTCAGTGACTTGCCAAACAATGAAGAAGTTGACAGATTGCGATTCAGGCATCATGGGGCAAAAATGGTGAAACTTGGGAACGAGGTGTGTGTTCTGATGGGAGAGACTGATTGTGTTTGGAGAGTGGGTGGACCAGTAGCGTGGCCAATATTTCCATCTCCAAATTTTTGCCCTGGCGGTGGGCATGAAGTGGTGCATGATGGCGAGACCTATGCCTTCTCCATCCAGGCTGATGGCACAAGATTTGCCTAGTTGAAACGCGGCTTTGATTTGCATCAAGTTGAGTAGTTTTTTTGCATGCATAATTCTTTGATCCAAAGTTTAGTTTTTCGAAGTGTAAAGTTGAATGATTGAACTATTTTGATGGTTACACATACAGATGGGATTACAAAACAGTAGTTGTAGCAAAATGTAGATTCTATGCTAGCCGATTCAGAGCAAGGGAAAATGTCTCCTCTGTTTCGACTTTCAATTTTTTTCCCCCTCTTTTTGGGGGCTAAGAGGGTGAAGCAATTTTCTATGTACATACAAAAGAGAAGTAGTAATTCTGATTATAAGAAGTTGTGTTGTGATTTGGTTTATATTTTCTGAATGTGAGTTTTTGCTTCTAGAATAATAGTAATAATAGTAAGGTTAAGGGTGGGCTTTGGCGCAACTCGGCATATAAAGGTAAGACTGACATTTCTTCAAACTTCGCAAAGAGAAAGCCTGGTGCAATAAGTTTGAATATTTCAATTTTTGCAGCATTAGTTTCCAACAAAAAAAAAATCAGTTTCATCATCTTCTGATTTGGTTTTTTGATTTCTGAAGTACGATATTTTCTCCCCCTTTTGTAATAGTAAGTTGGTAACAATCAAATCTAACCCGTCTCTGTGCTTCTTTTTTTCATTCCAGTTGGCTTGACAGCATTTAACCATTGCATTACAGTCATATTGGCCCATATTGAAATATTAGTAAAATAATACAATATAGATACATTCATTGAGAGCCATAAGATGAATATATGAAAGAATAGTTTCTTTAAGTTATTGGGTGGTGTTGTATATTCATGAATATGTACATTTTTCGCCTGAACTCGCAATTTACCTTGGACAAAATTTCTAAAAATATATATAATGTGGGACAAGAACCTTTAAAATTCTTTCCCACGGGAACCACCAAATATGGTGAAATATATAACTAAACGGCTGATATTTGGTATCTCCTTTTACAATTGATTAATCTTGAATTTGATATATATTTGGTAAAAAAGAAGAAAAAAAATAAAAATGTCCTTTTATGATTTAAAATATATTTTTATTTATTTCTAAATTTACCCATACTACTATACGGTATATTTTGTTGCTAAAACAACTGCAATAAACTCCATCCCTAGGGGAGGTATGTGTAATTTATAGTTTAAAAAGTAGAGAAATACGTAATTATTGAACTCTAGAGGAGGTATGTGTAATTTATCGTTTTATAAACAAAGAAATGCGTAAATATTTATGGTTTAAGATCGTCGTCTTCATTACAAGTCTTACATCCAAACAAGAAAATCCGGACAATTGTAGGGGAGGTATGTGTAAAACTGCCATCAGAACCAACACCTCCTTCCCAAGTAATCTTTATTGAATGTGAAGCAAGAATTAAATATATAGCATAGCGCCGCCTATCCCCAAAGAACTGGGATTACCATTACTTGCTTGGAAATCAAGAAAGAGAAGGCGGTGAGATCCCTCGCATCGCATTTAGGAAGCGCTCTCTCTTAAACCTAAACTTTCCTTTTTGGATTATCGCCCAAAGTTTCAATTCCTCTGCGCATTCATCTCATACACCATACATAGAAGCCAAGCCTTCCCTCTCATACACCACACATCGGCCTGTTCCATTACACTGGACAATGGTGATTTTTCCTTTCTCCAGTAACGGGGCTTGGTTCTTCCAAGATTGATTTCTTGTTCTGTCCTGTTCTAAGGTACTCAAACCTGGTGATTTCTCTTCCATAGTCTCTGTCACTTGGTTCGTCCCCGTTCCTCTGCCCAAAGCTTTGTTGGTGAATACCTGAAATCCTTCAATTTCCCTTTTTCTTTCTCTCTTCACTTCCCTCTGTCACAACCATTCCTCTGCCCAAACCTTTTGTCTTTGATTCCAATCAATGAACAACACAATGGTGTCCGGGATTCAATCCATGCGTGCTGCCGCGCTCAAGAAGCGATTTGCTGAAACTATCTTGAAAGCAGCAAAGGAGCTATTGCTAAATCAGGTATGAACATCAGTTTTTCTTACAAGTATTCCATTCCTTCAAATTTCAGCTTTCAAAATATATTACGTATTAAATGTGTATTCCATTCCTTCAGGCTGATCGGATTAAAACCAAACCGAAACCGAATCCGAAACCGGGCACAATTGAAGCCCAAATCATAGCTGATAAAGCTGCTTCACAAAATATTGCACAAGCATGGAAAATCCTGCTGGAGAGGAATAGAGAAGCTGCCAGAATTTCTCTGCAGAAGGTTTGTTCTTTTCTTAAAATTTTTTTCAATTTTTTTTCTTTCTTAAAATTAAATTAACTCTTCTTTCCCCTCCTCATTTCCAGATGGAGAACACTGTCCACTTTGAGGACAATCTGTACATTGGCAAATACTTCGAAAATTTAAGGGTTTTTGGATCAACTAAACCACTTGAGGAGTTTGGTTTGTTTCTTAAGAAAGATGATGATTTGTACGAGGACGAGGAGGAGGTGATTGATATAGAAGAGGGAGAGATCATTGAATAGATTTCAAACGAAAATAGCTACCACAAGAGAGTTTTTCCACTAGCTCTTTCCTAGAGAAGTTTTATATATACTGCTTATGTTGTTGATTGGCCATGTGCCTTGTATGTACAGTTTTTACTTCATTTAAACATGTATTCACTTGTAACATTCTACTCCATGTAATTGTAGCTCAAGGTCAATTCAAAATTTTCAATAAAAAAGTCCAATTACATTTATTTGTGTCTGTATATGTATACACACACACACACACACACACACACACATACATATATATATATATATGTTGTTTGCGTTTTTATATATATGCATGTGTATATTTTTGGTCTTAAAGCTATCAGTCAAGGAACCTGTAGAATACAGAGAGTGACATCCAAAACCTTTGAACTTCAAATGAACCGGTCTTTTGCACACCAAACTGCTCTTATCCTCTGAAGTAAAAGTTTGGATTGAATTGTTTCTGAGATGTGGTTGCTTTGAAGTAGACTATTAATGTCGCAATGTGACTCACTGGTTTTCACCCGAGGTCTATCAACTCTTTATTCCTCAACTAAACATGGCAATTTCAAGATTTTGCCGGTTGATTGATTGAAGAGTGAATAAGTATCAATGAGATCGAAGCTCCCTGTGAATTGCTTTTCTGTGAACAAACTTTTCAATGATTGAGACAAGAAATGTTGGCAGCCAGTTTCTTGGAGCATGTATGAGATATTTCTTAGTGCACTGGTTTTTTGGAGCATGTAATAGAGTTTTCATTTCCTCTGATTTCAGCCTCCCAAGTGTCCTCACCAATCTACTTTTGATGAAGAATTCATTTCCTTTGTACTTCTGAGTGAAATGAACATAAGCAGACACATAACATGCCTCCATTATATTGGAAATGAAGTTTCCTTCATCTTCTTTCTTTAGTCTCCTCTTGGTCCTGGGCTAAGAAGCCTTAGCTGTGAGTCAGTGAACTATTCCTGATCTTAAAGGAGTTGTGTTGATCCTTTTAAGACCACAAAAGTCTGGTTGACAGCTGACAAGAGTCCTTCTTAGAAGATGAGCCCCAAACAGTGATGTCCACAACCTTTTTGTCCTTCATTCTACTGCCTTCAACCTGCTCTTGGAACAACTGTATCCTGTGTTCTTTAATCACATTGCTTCTCTCAATTAAGCATCTTCAATTGAGTCCCACATCTCCTTGGCTGTGTTGCATTTTGATTTTCCAAGGAGAGTGACATTAGAGATGGATTAGTATCATTACTCCAACAGTAGTAGTTTGGTCATGTTATCGTTTGATTTCCCCCTTTTTGGGGCTAAGAGGGTGAAGCATTTTCTATGTACACATTAAGAGAGTAATTTTAATTGAGCATAAGAAGTTCTGTTGTGATTTGGTTTATATTTTCTTAATGTGAGTTTTTGCTTCTAGAATAATAGTGAGGTTAAGGGTGGACTTTGGCGCAACTCCGCATTCACATTAGGGTTTGAATATTTCAATTTTTGCAGCATTATTTTCCAACCAAAAAAAATCAGTTTCATCATCCTCTGATTTGGTTTTTTGATTTCTCAAGTATGATATTTTCTCCCCCTTTTGAAATAGTAAGTTGGTAACAATCAAATCTAACCCATCTCTTTGCTTCTTTTTTCATTCCAGTTGGCTTGATAGCATTTAACCATCGCATTAGTCTTATTGGCCGTTAAGATATTGAAATATTAGTAAAATAATACAATATAGATACATTCATTGAGAGCCATAAGATTGTATTGAGAGATAGAATTAACTGGTACATATATTTACGATAAAATTGTTTGTTGGCTATATATGAAAGAGAGAATTAGATTTTAGTGACGAAAATTAAATAAAATTGTTTTAATGTGACTTTAAAATTATAAAAATATAGATAGTCACGATGCAAAATTTACCATATGAGGGTACTTTTGTCAAACATTTTATTTGCTTATTAAAAATAATTGCATAATTAAAACTGTTTGTTGTGATGCTTGTTTTCCAAGAAATTATAGAAGAGAAATCGATTCAAATAAATTTCTATTTTTCAATCAATTTCTTAAGATGGATGATCTTCCAATATGTGTTAATATTCAAATTAGTTTGATACAAAAAATATGTCCTTTAAATTAAGGGTATAGTTGTCTTTTCGCACAACAAATATTGATTAAAAGTGTGAATAAAGTGCAAAAGTACTATCAAAGTATACTTTGCATAGCACTTTCACCTCTTATTTTAAAAATGTGCTATTAACATCTTTATTATTTAAAAATTGAGCAAGTACACCCCTAAAATTACTTTTTGCGAAGAATTGACGTAAACTAATGTTGTAATGCTTGTTTCCCTTTTACTCTACCAAAAATGCCTAAGGATTTGTGCAAGTTAGTAATCTTATAGTAAAAGGGTGTTATGCGCATAATGTACGTTAACTATATTCAACCAACTTTTAAGATTTTTCTCTCACCTTTCAAAAAAAAAAATTCTCTCTATATACATCCCATAATATTATATTATCTGTATTATCTCTCTTTGAGTTGACTGTTTTACATTTCCTATGACTTAATACCTACTCATTACTTAGTAACAAATGAGCGTTCAATCTTTATTGAAAAAAAAAATAAATAAATAAATTGGTGATACCAAATCTTGTGGAGTTTTTTTGCTCTTTATCCTATATGAGTTGTCTTTTTTCATCATTTCACAAGTTGATATTTTGCTGAAATAATGTATAAATTGGTAATTTGGATAAAATCTATGTTAAATGTGTAGGTATTCATGTGTAACTTATTGGCATAAAATGATACTTTATGGTTGAGGGATGTGACATACACTCTAAGCATACTATACGGTATATTTTTGCTA